TTAGATATTTATTATTGTAATATTTTCTTTATCAATAATCAAGCTGTGCATGTTTAAATTCCTTGTAAAATATATTTTAACCCTTTCGCTGCCAAGCCCTCCGGAACATTTTCAAATCAGCTGGCCAAGCCATTTTTGAATTTTCTGCAATTTTTTTCCTATTGATTTGATTTTCAACTGCTGCGTTGCTAGCGTTTGTAAAAGACCCCCCAAACCATATATTTTCTGAAAGCGCAGGCCCGGTAGAATAAAAAGCTGGTGATACTAAATTTGTAGGCCCTGCGATAATTGCGCAAATGTTTCTCAAATTAATATTAAACCGATAAAAATACACAATTCAATTGATAAAACACACTAAAATCAGTATCAGCGCACAAAAAAAAATAATTTTCTGACTAAATCTAAAAGATAAAACTGTATTGAGTTAATAAATAACAAATATTTGCAAATTTGAAATTGCGCCTTTTTGCGAAAAGGTAAAAAAATTACGGTACGCAAAACTGTAAATAAGCAACTTATGTTAAAAAATTGTTTTCACGCTGTGTTGGTGTTTGTGTTGTGATAAAATGATACAGGCGTATATTTATTGCAACACAAAGATCACAACGCATGGCAATGCGTCACAAAGCTTTGCCATGCGCTGCCACAGTTAATTTAATTTTTTTTTTTAAAGAAAAAAATACATTAAAAAAAGCGGTGCCCGGTATTTTTAAAATTAGCAGTCATCAGCGGCTTGTGAGCCGCTGATGACAGCTATTAATTTAAAGGGGACAGTCTGCTGAACAGTTAAAGCGACCATCAGCTTATAGTAGAACTGTAAATGCCAGGTCCGTATGGCATACTGACCTGGCCAGCTGGAAGCACTTTTGTAGGTCCGTATGCCATACGTCCTTGGCAGCGAAAGGGTTAAACTGACGGTTTGCGTGTGTATTTTCTAGCTGACCTTCCGCTCCCGAACAGTAACAAGTGGGGGTTGATAAATAATACAGATAATTATTAATATTCATATACTATATGCTGTTTAATCAGCCCCCTTTTTCTTACACTGTGATGCTAGTTTATTTAGAAAAAGATTCACTACAATAATGTAATATCTTTAATGTGGAGTACTTTTGTTAGTCCATTGTTCCTGTACAGTGAAAAAAAATCAACACTTTGGAAACTGTTCTTACAAGGACTATGATTACGGGGAAACCCTGGTTTTTCATTCAGCATTTACTTTTGGTGTTCTGTGCCACTTTGGGCCCTGTATATGAACACAAATAGCACTATAGCTTCCTTTGACATTTGCAAAGTTTGAACAGCACGGTTTTAGGGTTGAGGTGGAACTATAAATTTAATCTAGGCATAGCTACGCTTATAGGACCTATGGCACACAATTCAAAAAAAATACAGATATCAGAATGGAGATTGTTGTTATAGTATGTAATCATTGCTACAAAATATTCTTTAAAAAAAAAAAAAAAGGAAACAGCTTCCTTACCCCCCCCCTCCCCCTTATGTTTACTCTGCAATAAGAATGGATTGAGAACTATTGGTGTTACAGTGTATTTATGGCGGAAACCAAGATTGCCATTCAGCCTGGACTTCAAACATGTCTGCATTTGTTCATCTCCAGCACAGGAAGAGCGATGGGACCCAGAAAGTGCTCTGCCACTAATTTAACCAGTACATTCAGGTTTGGAAAGCACCACAATGCAGGGCCCAGTGACTGAAGGTCACATTCCTGGCTAACCCCATATATCCAGTCCAGCAGGGTATAGGTATAACCTCAAAAAGCCAGGCTGAGGAAATGCTTATCTGGACAGCTGGTGTGATGTTACAATACAGTAATGAAGTCTCAGTAATGTGACATTAATGTAAAATAACCAAAAAGTATGTCACTCGCCAAAAAGGTAGTCTCCCTGCAATCACGGGTGGTTGCCATGGTAACAACCAAGCAGTGTTGCCTACCCACAGGGTGTGACCTGCAGGGAGCTAAGCAGATTTACAGGTGGTCATGAAAGTGGGATGCATGATTGATTTGCATTTAAATGTTAAAAATAAAGCTATTTGGGAATATTGGAAAATTTTAGAAGGCGGCAGTTTGTGTTCATTTTTCAAAAAGTACAGGCCAAGAAACCCACGCTCTGTAACTAAAACACAACAATCCCTTGTTTGTCAACCACCAAAATGAGGATAATTCACGGCCAGGTTGAAATTTAGGATTAACCATAATAGGAACCATGGGTGTATGGGAAGAATTGAGTGCATATTTGTCCCTCTCTGTGTGTTCTACACAGAGAGTAGCATAATGTGGGGCACAGGATAGTCGGCCTTAGCCTGCTTCATATACACATTACCAATTCTTTAGAAATAGGAGAATAAGATAAAGCTTCCAATACCACCTGAGGCTGCAGACTTCTTGCTGTAGTTTGAGCCAAGTGTGCAATTTGTGCCACTTGGGAAAAT